ATCATATGTAAATGACATATAACATTACCAAAAGTCAATTTCTAATCTCTCAATTTGCAGAACTCGAATGTCAAGTTGAGATGTTGATTATGGAAATTTTACGGAATTAGTGACGAAACAAGGAGAGGAATTGGACAAAGAAATTGACAGAATCATAAAGGAAATCTTAAATGAAATTAAGGAAATAAAAAGGAAAACACAAAAGCATTTTTTTTAATTCTAAGTAGATAAAGTTGAAATACGTACAACTGTTAAGGAGATGGGTGACCATGACGAGAGATAAGCCCATAGTGCAACAAACATGAAGGTGAAAAATTAAATATCAATTATTTCAAAATTTTCCTTAATATTTCATGTAACATTAAAGGAGTCATTTTTACACACTATAACACTATTTTTATTGTGAGTGGGTCTTCTTTCCATTTTTTTGAAAGTTAATCCTCAAAGTTTGCATACAAACATACATATTTTAGTTTCCAAAATTGTGGAGCAAAGATCCACTTTACCTTAAAAATAGACTTTCATGACATAACTTTCGTATCTTTTCGAGAATTACTTGAAATCCACTAAGTCAATGGTCATATCACAAACATGATTTAAATGTCACTATTATCAGGACTTGTATAGGTAGTGGTTAACGTGTTAGTCTCAATAGAGATAGCAACTCAGGATTTTTATTGCCAGGGTTCGAGCCCAACAGAAACCACATATTTTTTTATAAAATAAATTTTAACGAAAAATTTTCCTCAAAACTTTTTGTTTATCATGATTTCATAAAATATAACCATGACACCTTTACTCTAAATAGTAAATTCACAATTTGAATATGTTTTAATATATCTGAAGCTTATGGTTTTTCTGCACCCTAAGTTCGCCCATCTCCTTTGTAAATAATTATTTTAAGGATATCCGATCCTCAGCCAGGGAGCATAACTCCAAAAATGAACATTTAAATTGAAATGCATCAAAATTAAGCTTGAGAGTGAAATTTTTTCATGCAACAATTTTCATTTTATTCATCTTTGTAAGATTCAAGGTCTTTGGAAGTCTTAGAAAAGGTCTTACAAAAGTTGACATTTGTACCCTATAAAAGGGGAAAAAATTAATACAGTTTAAGATAAATACGATTTTCTTGAATCCAGCCTTAGATACCAATGATTATTAGCATGATATGAAAAAATAAGTGATTTCTGGTGTCTTGCAACGATAGCAAAAGCCTTTTACACTATGTATCATAGTATACATGACGGAAATAGAAGACAAAAAATACCAAATAAGTATAATAATCATGACAATTTCCCTTAATGCCTGAATACCTATCGTTTTTTAGCCTAAAATATATTTGTTGATCAATTTGCAATTAGAAAATGCAAAGCTGATATTCCAATTCGCTTTTTCTGCAAAAATATTGCAGATTTAACAATTTTCCCTATATAATATGATTAACTTTGACCTTTAACTTTAAAGAAATATTGTGGATAAAATTACTTATTAATAACTTTTTAGATTCAGAAATACTTTTATGAGTATTTTTGATTACTTAACTGCTAATTTTATAAACCTGAGGATCGGATTATCTTAAAAATCAGTTTTAGTAATGAAAAGAATAAGATTGTAGTGCTTCTCATAAGAATAGGTTGAATACTAGTAGTTACTGAAACTAGAGGCCCATGGAGCACTACAGTATGCTCAATGGAGTAAATGTGACTCTTCTTATTACGAGGAACTGCGAAGGCGTCATCATTCATAAAAAAAGCATCTTCAGATACCAAGTATACCAAAAGTCAAGTTTGTTCAATATGAATTTTCTATATGAAAACACGGGTAATTGATAATGACTTAGCTGATTTTTGTGAGAATATTTTTTTCAAACACCCCTCCTATGTTTTCCTATTAAATACTTATGATTACACATTCTAGCCCCATCACACCCTAAATGGTTGTAATTTTAATAATTGACATCTACACAGCCTGAGTATGTTCCCAATAATTATTATTAGTCACTACTTTTCTATTATAGAAAATTTTTTATATATTTCCTATATATACCCATGTAAAAATTTGATTTCCCATAGTGGCCAAACCCTACCCTATGGGGGTTCATGACTGGGGCAATCTGAATCTACACTATACAAGCCAGCTTCCATTTCAATATTATTGATCTTAGCTTTGCTGTTCATGAAAAGAGTTTTGCTATTAATACTATGTAGAACACTGATCGCTTTCAGTGGCCCCCATACTTAAAGTTGTAATGTTTAGATCACATTTGCATTTGCACAATGTCTGAGAGCCTTCTAATAAGTCTAAACTTCCCCTGTTCAGTGGTTCTTCGTGATAATATTTTAAAAAGAACCATGCATTTTTATACGTGATAATATTTTAAAAAGAACCATGCATTTTTAAACGTTTTCTACATGACCTACGGAATAGAAAGTGGCTCTTGAAAATTTGAATTTTTTATTACTCAAGGATACTCTGTGTCAAGTTTGGTTAAAGCTGCTCCACTGTGGTTGTGTAGATGACCTTTTAAAAACTTTGCAACGACAAAACAAATGACAACATAATCAACAATGTCGACAACGGCAGATATCGGACAAAAGTTGATCAGAAAAGCTCACTTGAGATTTAGGCTCTGGTGAACTCACTCAGTTATGTTAAGGAATGTTAAGGAATGTCAGCGTTCACATTCGTGGTGTACCGTATTGGAAGTTAAACTGTGATGTCATGAAAAATTAAACAGGCGACAAAAATCTAATTAACGACGTGATGATGCGTATATAACAACTTGAATGCATTTATTTTATTAATTATTTATAAAAAAATCTTGTGAAATCACAATGCTTTTTAACAATACTGTCGAGTAAAAGAAGAAAGCCTCTTGTCAAATATGATTTCACCAGCCTTGAAATAAGTGATCCAGAAGACTAGATTCACTGGTTTAATACCATTTTAAACATGCTTAAAAATATGAAATCATCGCTAAGTTTTTAACCTTACCATCAAACTAAAAAGAAAATAATTTATTAATTACAATGTATATAGAATACGAATTTCTCTAGAAGCATTGTAGCTGCAAAGGGACAAAGAATGTTAAGAATATCGCTATAACGATAAGCATATTTGTCATTAACATCAAAAGCGCAAGGATATAGACTATTTTGTTTGAACTTTGAAAATGGAATATGTATTGCTTATACATGTATGGTGTATATTTTGAAAAGTGATGAGAGCTAATCCTGGTCTGCGTAAAATTATTTTTATTTATAACAGAATTTAAGCAAAGTGGATATTTAAAGCTATTGTACGCATTATCATTATATTCTATTATAATCAATTAGATCAGATGCTTCGTAGAAAAGCGCCTGACTTTGTCAAATTTCAAATATGTGATGAATATGGTCGCCTTACATATTTTGCATTCATCAAGAGCGATAACTCTTAAGTTCAAAATAGCTGTAGATTAGGAAGTGTAACGTACTTATTTTTAACCTGTTTGAGGTGATAAAAGAGCTTACTATTTTCAATTTAACAGTTTGAAATCTAAAAGAAAATGAAAGAAAAGATGGAAACAGGCAGAATTGCAACAAAATCTTAATAGCCTACCAAATATAAGGTAAGTAAAGACTCTGTAAATCAGAAGTTGTCAAAGGCAATAGCTTCTCTGATCAGAATTATTCAGGTTCCTGCATGTTTCTTAAAGTAAAGTGTTTATAACGATTTTTCTCTGGATTTTTATTTGCCAATCATCTTTCAAAGTCAAGTACATGTCTTAAGAAGGACGCATCACAAAACTTTCATCAGAGAAAGTCGCCCGCTTGGCGCAGTGGTTAGTTTTCATTACCTGTTTATCTCAGTCATAATATCATCATGTATCATCCCTCTGATAAGAGAGATAACTTTCCGAGGAAAATATTCCAATCAATTCAATGAATTGGATATGATTACACTTCATTACATTTAGCTAAAAGGTGGTCTTCATATTGAAAAATGTTGAAAATATGTAATTAATGTTTTTCTCAAAAACAAATTTAAGATTCAACAATCTGTAATCCATCCGATTACAATGACTTCGTGGCATAGAGGTAAAAGGATTGTAGACATAATGATCGTGAGTTCCAGTCTCACAGTGTGTGTTTCTTTTTCTTTTTTTTTTCTCTGTGCATTTTTCCCTATGTTTTCTTTTATTATTGTATATTACATGTATAAATAATTTAAGAGATATATAATACATTACACCTTGAAAGTATGTATCTCGGGAAAAAAAACAGTCCTAAACTATTTTAATGACCCACAGTCATAGCTGTTAGCTTGTTTTATTTTTAAAATTTTCTAAAAATCTTGCTTAAAATAAGAGTATTGAACGAGTAAAATGATTGTCATGTAACAAACTTGCAACTATGAAATTATAATACTGATCTTCAAATGATTACATACATGTAGTTTGATCTTGAATTGAAAAGGTACATGTATCTATAAATAGAAACAGGTGATTTCCTTTTAAATACTTGAGTCGGCCATGTCGTAGGTAAGGCAGCTATGGATCTTTACCAAATATGATTTAAAAAATTATAAAGTTTGGAAAGAATAGTGTCACAATTCAGCATTATTTGATAGAAACGCATGATAAAATGTGCTTCAAATTTGGGCCCTGGTAATCTGAATGTGCCCCTATAGCGGATCAACGTTTAAAGCATTAAAGGGGGAAGAAGCAAAAGTTAGATAAGATCTTTTCAAGAATTGCATTTACAAAAATAGCCAACTGATATAAAAGCAATTGAATGTTTATATATTATCGAAAAATTATCTAAATTATGATATTTGTCATATTATGGTTGAGAGTTACTAAATCAGTGGATAAATCTATATCATATGTAAATGATTTATATCAATAAGAGTTAATTTCCAATCTCTCAATTTGAAGAATTTCAGAAGCAATGGATCCAGAGCCCAGGATGTTATCCGATGTGACCTTTGTGAGACCGCCGTGGTACTGATGCACTGTGATTTCTGTGATGTTAACTTATGCATTACGTGTATGGGAAAACATGTTTCTGATGATTATGACAAACATAAAGTGGTTCCTTTCAAACAACAAAAAACATCCTACCAAAATATGTGAGTTGCAGTGCAAAGAATGCAATATTCCTATTTGTTCATTATGCTCGGCCTCCATTCAACACAAAAAGTATGGTCTCTTAGTCCTTTCAGAAATACATGTTGCAAAGAAAGAATCCATTAGAAATGATGCAAATGAAATAGTAAATTATCTTTTTCCAGCATTTGAATCATTAGCAGTTGGCATAGAAACTCAGATGACCAGTTTAGATGAGGATTACGGGAATCTTACAGCACTAGTGACGCAACACGGAGAAGAATGGCACAAAGAAATTGAAAGAATCGTTGAGGAAATGAAAAATGAAATTAATGAGATGAAAGGCAAACATAAGAGCATTCTAAAACAGCACCTTGACGAAATCAAGAATGTACAGTCTTTTATGGACCAAACACTGCTCACTCTAAAGGAAATTGAAGAATCAAATAAAGTGTCCCTGGCTTTAGAATACTCCTCCAAGATCACTGAATTCAGGAAACTTCCTCCCAAAGTTAAAATATCATTACCAACCTTTAATACAGGAAATATAAACAGAAAAAAGAATCACCGGTTATTTGGATCTTTATCATCTTTATCCATTAAAAGAGAAGAAGGCTTCATACTGGAGAAAAAGGAGGTCACAGCTACTTATAAAGAACTATTGGAAGTTCCAGAAGCCATTACGTCTATTAGTATTGGGTATTGTAACATCCGCGGTGTTACCTGTACAAATGAAAAAGAAATTTGGATATGTGGCAACTCATGTGATTTAAAATGCTTTAACATTCAAGGTTCGGACAAAAAGACCATCAAAACAAAATCAGGCAAATTTACAAATGATTTAACATGGACAGGAGATGGGGACCTAGTTTACTCTGAGAGGACCAAAAGGACTGTGAATAAAGTAAGTAGTGGGCAGATAGAGGAGATAATCAGACTAAAGGGCTGGGTACCTGAACACCTCTGTGTCACCTCCTCTGGTGAGCTCCTGGTTACTATGTACAGTGAGGATGAAACACAATACAAAGTTGTTCGCTACTCAAACTCCAAAGAGAAGCAAACAATCCAGTTTGATGAAAACGGTAAACCTCTGTATTCAGGAATTGGCTACACTAAATATATATGTGAAAACAGAAACCTGGATATGTGTGTGGCTGACTATAGGGCAGGTGTTGTAGTTGTAGTCGATCAGGCTGGTAAACTCAGGTTCAGATACACTGGCCATAGCTCTACTACGAAGAAACAGCCATTCAAGCCATTGGGAATCACAACAGACAGTCAGTGTCAGATCTTGACATCAGACTGTCAAAATAACTATATTCACATCATTGACCAGAACGGAAGGTTCCTCTGTTATATACATAACTGTGATTTAAATTCCCCTACCGTTTTGTGTGTTGACAAAAATGATAATCTCTTTGTCACTACGTTAGGCTCTGGAAATGTCATAAAGATCAAATATCTCAGATAGTTACATACATATAGTAGTGTACTGTGTGCATAGTTATTTCTATTTAACGTAGAACCTACGTCGTATGACATCATAACTAGTGAATGTGTTTAGTCTGTGCTAGATCCATTATGATGTCATAATTGATTCAATGTCACTTTTTCCCGTACTTTACAGCTTTAATAGAAATGGAAGAAAATATATTCACTGAATTCAATTTAAAATTATGCCGAGATAATCTTAATTTGTTATAATTTTCTTATAATGCTTAATGAAATATATTTCTTGAATTAGAGAATCCTTTCAATTAATAGATCTTGATCTTCCTTAAGTTAACAAATCCAAGACTAACTTGTGTAATAAAATAATAATGTGTACAACTTTCTGTAATAATGTAAATGGTATGTACATGTAACTATTTTGAAGGAATACACAACTAAATAGTTGTAATATGTTGATGAAATGTGTCCAAGTCAAAGATGTACGTGTTGTAGATCGTGTGTCCATTTTGTGATATCTATCATGAAATCATGTGCATTCCTTTTCATAATTATTTGTTACTTATTCATATTCTTGGAGTTTGATTACAATTGATTACAAATTTACAAGTTTTCTATTGTATATGTTCTTTCTAAATTAAAAGTACAATTTTTGATAAACATTTTTAATCTAAAAGTAACCCCAAACAGTCATTTAATAATTAAATCCAGTGTAAGTGCAAAAAGGTCAAGAATATTAGGATCGGTAAATTACCTATCTCTCGTTAGTTAGAGGGGAAAGGTATAATTTTTTATTACTTTTTGTGATCATTTGGGTATGTTCTTTATCATATTAAAAATTGAAAACATTGTGACAAAGACTTCTGAGAAATATTTACAAATGTAGGGTGGAAAATTGACTGAAAATAAATAGAGTTCATTTGCCTATAGTTTTTAAAAAGAGGACTTATCTTTTATGTCAATTGAATAAAAAAGAATTTATTCTTGGGAAATATTGTTTGATACTGTTTAACTAATAAACAATAAAACAACGATGTTTAAAGAAGTAATTTTTTGATTTTTTGTCTTCTTTGCATAACAAGTACCCCTGAAAATGACTGAAATTTTGAACTCGTAATATGTAATTATCATTCCATGTTTAACTGCCTGCACTACATTTAATAACAAGGAAACATGTCATGTGCTTTTGACTGATTGATAAGCAGGTGCTAATTTATCATTATGAAAAGTTTGAAAATCTTGTGACAAAGACTTCTCCGACATAGGTTCTACCTTAAGCTTCTAGTGTTTTTTAACATTTCAATATTTAGACATTTTTGGAAAGAGTTTTTTTTAAAATAATTTTTTAATAGATGTTGCGATTTCATATGAGTGTAAATCAACTTGATATAAATGACGGAATTTGATCATGTAAATTTCACTGTATAATTCTGTTTTTTGGTTACAGCTACCTGCCGGGCTTCCCCCAGGTACCTGTCGACTCTGCTAGGCTCCCCCAGAGTCAGTAAAAGTTAGGAATCCTCCCTAGTAGACTGCAGCTACCTGCCGGGCTCCCCCCGGGTACCTGCTCACCCTGCTGGGATCTACCCCAGGGTCTTGACTATAGTAAATGTTAGAATCATCCCTATTTAGACTTCAGATACCTGCCGGGCTCCCCCCGGGTACATGCTCACCCTGCCGGGATCTACCCCAGGGTCTTGACTATAGTAAATGTTAGAATCATCCCTATTTAGACTTCAGATACCTGCCGGGCTCCCCCCGGGTACCTGCTCACCCTGACGGGATCTACCCCAGGGTCTTGACTGTTAGATTTGCAGTTACATGCTGGACACACCCAGGTACCTGTACACCCTACTGGGCCCCCCAGCGTTAGTAGATAGTCGAGTAGCCCCAAGAAGCCAAAAAGTTGTTGTAATATACATTTGAATGTAAATATTTATGTCAATGAGCAAAGTGTTTATATTAAACTAGTGTTGAAATGTTATTCTTGTTTATGTTGTGTATAAAATGTTTATTTATGTAATATTAGTTTATACACAATATATGTACTGTGCTACTGTGTGGAGACTCAGTTTTGCGTATCTAAGTATAGAATGTTTACATATGCAAATGAACATGTGTCACGTGATCTGTTTCTGACCAGCCATTGGAAAATTACTGACCAGATGCAGCAGCAGTGTTGTGATATTATGCGATAAATTTTACCTATCCCTCCCACCATCCCCAACATCACCACATATTGTTCGAAATATGTATAACTTGTCATGTATATAATTTCTTATGTCTATTGTACATGTTTATCGTAAGGTATAGTTCGTATGTATCATTAGTAAATGTTGAGTTACTTTGTATCTTTAAAATATGTTGAGTTCGTATGTATCTTTATAATATGTTGTTGGCTACTTGACTGTTAAGGCCCTTAAAGCCCCAACAAATTCTATTAATTTTATTTAATGACTTAAGTAATTTGTCATATTTGTTTATTCTATTTAACTTGATATAAATGACGGAATTTGATCATGTAAATTTCACTGTATAATTCTGTTTTTTGGTTACAGCTACCTGCCGGGCTTCCCCCAGGTACCTGTCGACTCTGCTGGGCTCCCCCAGAGTCAGTAAAAGTTAGGAATCCTCCCTAGTAGACTGCAGCTACCTGCCGGGCTCCCCCCGGGTACCTGCTCACCCTGCTGGGATCTACCCCAGGGTCTTGACTATAGTAAATGTTAGAATCATCCCTATTTAGACTTCAGATACCTGCCGGGCTCCCCCCGGGTACATGCTCACCCTGCCGGGATCTACCCCAGGGTCTTGACTATAGTAAATGTTAGAATCATCCCTATTTAGACTTCAGATACCTGCCGGGCTCCCCCCGGGTACCTGCTCACCCTGACGGGATCTACCCCAGGGTCTTGACTGTTAGATTTGCAGGTACATGCTGGACACACCCAGGTACCTGTACACCCTACTGGGCCCCCCAGCGTTAGTAGATAGTCGAGTAGCCCCAAGAAGCCAAAAAGTTGTTGTAATATACATTTGAATGTAAATATTTATGTCAATGAGCAAAGTGTTTATATTAAACTAGTGTTGAAATGTTATTCTTGTTTATGTTGTGTATAAAATGAGTGTAAATCCTCGAGACTTGACAAACAAACAAATCAAATAGATGTGTATTTCAATTAAACAAAGAATACTTATTTCATAGCATCTTACCAACTGAAATAAACATGTTCCCTGAATTGGTTTCAAATGTTTGAATTTATTAGTGTGTATGTATCTATTTAATGGATTACAGAGAATTTGTTGATATTTTTCATGAATGCACTGGCTTTCCACAAACATATATTGTAGTAAAATGTATGAAAAGGTCAAATTTTGCATAAATTAGCTCAGGGAGTTGGATTTTGGTTCCCTACACAGTTTATGTTTTTAAATGTATTATTGGTGTCGTGGAGGGAGTTCTACTATATAGAATGTCTGCTATAAAGTACAATCCCAAACTTAAGGGGAAATCTCGCATGAAACCTCCTTTTCTGTCTGAAGGATTTCTCCTCATTTACCAATGATTCAGTTACAAACATCATCTATGAAACTATGAACAAATGTTTAAACAAGGTTTTGAAGGTAAGTTATTGACAAACAAAGAAAAATGACCTAGTCAGAAAACACAATCTTTCATTAAGTTAAATGCGATTATTTTAGCTAGCTGATTTGCCAAAATTTACAAGGTACTCCAATTTTAGGATGCTTTGTACATTTATTTTAAAAAAAATATTTGTTTTATTCTAAGTAGATATAGTTAAAAATCCGTACACCCGATAGCTTGTATGGAATTATTTTAAGAAACCAGTTTTACTAATGAAAAGAATAAAAATGTAGTGCTTCTTAAAATAAGTAGTTGAATACTTATGTCTAGTAGTTACTGATACTAGAGGCCCATGAGGCACTATGCTTACCGGAGTAAATGTTACCCTTCTTATTTGTAAGCAGTTCTTTCATATACTTTTGACGATTA